AGGCCGGGCGCAGTGGCTCACTCCTGTAATCCCAGCACTTTGGGAGGCTGAGGTGGGCGGATCACAAGGTCAGGAGATTGAGACCATCCTGGCCAACATGGTGAAACGCCATCTCTACTAAAAATAACAAAAATTAGCTGGCCGTGGTGGTGCGCGTCTATAGTCCCAGCTACTTGGGAGGCTGATGCAGGAGAACTGCTTGAACCCAGGAGGTGGAGGTTGCAGTGAGCTGAGATCACACCATTATACTCCAGCCTGCTGAGAGACCCCATCCCCTCAAAAAAAAAATACACACACACACACACACACACACACACACACACACACACACACCCATTTAGTTCAACGATTCCACTCCTAGGTATTTACCCAGGAAAAAGGAAAAGTGCATATCCTTATAAACACTTGAATATTAAAATGTTTGTAGCAGCTTTATAGCAAAAACTGGAAACCACCCATTGATCACCACCAGGTAAACAGACAAATGGTGGTCTACTGTATGGCAGACAACTACTCCACAATGCAAAGGAATGAACTGATACAAATCACACAATAAGTAGGCTCGGAGGAAAAACACAGACCAAAAAAGAATACAAGCTGCATGATTCCATTCATATAAAATCACAGCAACTGCAAACGAATCTGTAGTGACAGAAAGCAGATCACTGGCTGCCTGGGGGAAACGGGGCAAGAGGGACGGCCTACACACGAACACCAGGAAACTTTGTGGGGTGATGGCTATGTTCATGATTTCGCTCACGGTGATGGTTTCACAAGTAAAACCCTGTCTCTACTAAAAATACAAAAATTAGCTGGGCATGGTGCTGCATCCCTATAGTCCCAGCTACTCGGGAGGCTGAGGCAGGAGAATTGCTTGAACCCAGGAGGCAGAGGTTGCGGTGACCCAAGATCGTGCCATAAGCACTCCAGTCTGGGTAACAACAGCGAAACTCCGTCTCAAAAAAAAAAAAAAAAAAAACTTTTGGGGGGAATTTTCTATCAAACTGATTTATGGATATAAGGTAGTCAAATCTATGGTAATGTGAATAATGCTATATGCAAATTTCATAGTTATATTATTTGTTTCTAAACATGTGAAATTCTAGAAATCATACTGCTTTAACCAGTTCCCTTTACTTAGAAATGAATGAGATTAGCTAACACCGTATGCTTACCATGTGCCAGATGCTGTTTAAAATACTTCCTATTAATTATTTCATGGTAAGCAATAGTTAGGTACAATTCATATCCCATTTTACAGATAAGAGTATTGAGGCAGAGAGAGGTCATGTAGCGAGCAAATAAATAGAAGAGGCAAGTTCCAGTTCTGTCACTGCATCTCCAAAGCCCAAGCTCCACTGAGATTCAGGGAATAAGGGGGCAGAGAAATAGAAAAATACACCTAGATGGAAGACAGTCATGATATGCGCAGAGCAAAGATACAAAACATCAATTCAAATGTCCACATTTCCATTCATGCAACACCTTTTCCCCCCGAATATATGAGAGTGCAGTGAATCAAAGAAAGTAGGTTCCAGAAATGAAGCTTCACTAATCAGATACGTAACTGGGACAAGTGAATTTAACCTAAAACATAAGAAAATCTTCATTGTTTAAGCAAATAACTAGGAAACCAATTACAGTTAAAAAAAAATTCATTGCAGATAGTTTGTATTACTGTTTCTTCAACATTTTCTTTTAATCAAGTATTTTTCAGGAAGGAAGGGAGTTGTTGCTCCATATTCCTGCGTAGGGAAATCCTCAGAGATCGCAGCAGCTCTTACCTTCCAGGCCCAACGTCTTTTCCCCCTCCCATGTTAACCAGTAGGTGTTCTAAACAGCACTTTCCGCTATTCCTACCATTCACTAGAGGAGCATGAATGCCTATGCATCCGCCTGGTTCAGATTCTGGCTCTGCACATGAGCCAGGTGACCTTAGGCAGTCACTGAACCTCTGTCCCAGTGTGAGAATGACAAAGTAGCTCCTCCTTTATGGAGCGGCAAAGAACTGAAAGCATTACGGCATGGAAGCATTTACAGCAGTTCTTAGCACACGGCAAATGCTCTAAAAATGTTAGATATTTTTTTTTTTTTTTGAGATGGAGTTTCACTCTTGTTACCCAGGCTGGAGTGCAATGGCGCGATCTCGGCTCACCGCAACCTCCGCCTCCTGGGTTCAGGCAATTCTCCTGCCTCAGCCTCCTGAGTAGCTGGGATTACAGGCACGTGCCACCATGCCCAGCTAATGTTTTGTATTTTTAGTAGAGACAGGGTTTCACCATGTTGACCAGGATGGTCTCGATCTCTTGACCTCGTGATCCACCCGCCTCGGCCTCCCAAAGTGCTGGGATTACAGGTGTGAGCCACCGCACCTGGCAAAATGTTAGATTTATCCTTAAAACAAAATACAAGGCGTTGTCACAGGTATCATCAGCCACCAGGACACCACACAACAAAGAACAGTTGATACTTCTGTGATGAAGGGAAGACGACGGAAGGATGGAAGGGCACTGCACATATAACCATCATTGAAACATGTCCAATCTGAGGAAAATCAAAGTACCCTTTGGGTTGTGTGCTTGAACGTAAGTGAGAGTATATTAGATTCGTCTATCAAGACATTCTAAAACTGAGAGGCATGCTGAATGTACATTCAGGCTAAATGCCAGAACCCTGAGTGCAAGATCAACATTCAGACAAAGCTGAGCAGAGAGCATCGCTATCACCTCATGTATTTCTCGGATACCAGCCCAACTTTTAGAGTATCAAAAAATTACAACTGTATTATTAGAAATTTTGGTAGTAATGTTAAAGTTTGACAAGGCAGTGCAGAAACAAGAATCTCTCAGTATGGTCGCTCAACATAGCTGCTCAACTGTGCAGCGCCTGTGATTCCAAATAGATGTTCCCTTTCCCCACAGTCAGCAGGGAGGCGAAAGATTGCCAGCTAGCTCTCCTGGGATCCTGCAGACAGTGAGACGGTCAACAAGCTTTATTTTCTTTCAGAGTGACTGAATATTTTTCTTTAATATTATGAATGCTAGAGTATCTCAATCAATTCTATAGAATAGAATAATACTATAATTTACTCTTTATTATTCTGCCTTATATTACCTGAATTTTTATAAATGTTGATTGGCTCAAAATGGATGTGTTCTCCAAAAGTATCCAGTTAACTTTCTCAACATTCATATAAACTGTTAATCTAGTTTCTTAGTTAGCTCACTGTCTAAATAGTCACAGTAAATGTTAATCCTCCTTTTTTGTTTTGGTGGAGGATGTGGGCAATGATCCAACCCTATTTCTTTAATGAAACATATGTCTTGTTTCGAATAATACACTGAAATTGTTTTGAATAGTAAATTAACAGCTTTCACAATCATCAGAAGAGCAGAGTGATCACAGAAACCAACAGGAGAGCACGTTTAAGAAGAAATCGATAAAGTCCAATGCTTCTGAGAGGTCAAGAAAGAGGCAGACTGCGGCATCCATTAGATCTGGAGACGTCATGTCTGAGAAGGGCGATGAGGACAGAAGTCAGGCCTGGGCTACAGTGAGGAACAGCAGAGGGGAGGGAGCGAAGAAGGCTGCACGCAACTCTGAAAGCGGCGGCTGACGGAGAAGGTGGGGTCCGGAGGGTGCTTACACAGGACAGTCTGAGCATGTTTAAATGCTGATTGGAAGACTAGCGGTGGGAGGAAGGAGATGAATACACCAAAAAAGGAAAGAGCTAACTGACAGGGTGAAGTTTTCATGAAGTCAGTGGGAGAGAGGATCCGAGGCGTGAAGAGGTCAGAGGGGAGATGGCACCCCGGTGGTTACCACAGGGGAAGGACCCAGGAGGCGTGCAGCTGTAGCAGGCTGGTACCTTTGGGAGTGGGAGGCTGATGAAGCTCCCACCTAATGGCTCCTAATTACTCTATGACATAGAAGGAAATGCTGCATCCAGAAAATGAAAAAGTATGATGGGGAAAGGGTACAGCGAGAGGCAGTGCCAGGGTTTTGAGGAGAAATTAAAACAGTCATTAGAGAAGGCGGGAGAAAGAGTGAACCCAAGAAGCAGGGATGGCCAAGACCTGGAATATCAGTGACCAGGAAGTTACTGGGGCTCTGCCAAGAGTTCCTTGTTTCAGAATATCGATGGCTGGAAATTTACTGGAGTTCCAGCTGGGCCCATGATGTGACTTGTAGTGCTCAGCTTGTAGGAACAGGCCAACAGAAGGCAGATAGCAGAGTCACTCAGGAGGGGTTTTGCCAGCAAGGCAGAGCAAAAGTCCAAAGGGCCAGACAGATGAAACTGCATGGGTATTTACGAACCTGGAAAAGTGCTGGAGACGGAGCTGGGATCTAAGCTACATACTGAAGAGAGAGGGAGAGCATAGAGGGGACGAGACGCTGGAGGTCCGTCCGTATAAGAGCCAGGCTATTCCGAGTCAAGGAGTTTAACAAGCTGCAGGTGGAAAAGAACTTGTGGGCAGAGGACAGAATGCCCAACTTTCACCTACTAATTATCACTGATATTCATTAGGTTATCTGAACTAATTATTAATTAGTTTGATCACCAGTCATTAATACATTAAGGTCAGACCTCTGTGATAAAAGGGGTTGAGATTTCTAGTCTGTAAAAAGCTCTTAGAAATCATTAAGAAAGGCCAGGCGCAGTGGCTCGCGTCTGTAATCCCAGCACTTTGGGAGGCTGAGGTGAGTGGATCACTTGAGGTCAGGAGTTCAAGACCATCCTGGCCAACATGGTGAAACTCCATCTCTACTAAAAATGCAAAAATTAGCCAGCCATGGTGGCGCGCACCTGTAGTCCCAGCTACTCAGGAGGCTGAGGCAGGAGAATCGCTTGAACCCAGGAAGCAGAGGTTGCAGTGAGTTGAGATCACGCCACTGCACTCCAGCCTGGGCGACAGAGCAAGAATCCTTCTCAACAAAAGAAGAAAGAAATCATTATGAAGAGGACCAACACTACAATGGGAATGAATGAAACACCCTACTTGGCTGGAGACTCCTCTTCTGGGGCACCCTGGGACTCCTCCACCACTGCGGGTTCCTCCATCGGTGCAGTCGGCTCCACGTCACTGAAAAACAGCAAGACTCTCTAGTCACACAAATACGTTCACACCAATGCCTTTATATGTTTAAGAAAACTTTTTTTTTGAGACTGAGTCTCGCTGTTGCCTGGGCTGGAGTACAGTGGTGCAATCTCGGCTCACTGCAACCTCCACCCAGGTTCAAGCAATTCTCTTCCCTCAGCCTCCCAAGTAGCTTGGATTACAGGTATCCACCAGTATACCCAGCTAATTTTTTTTTGTATTTTTAGTAGAGATGGGGTTTCACCATGTTGGCCAGGCTGGTCTCGAACTCCTGACCTCAAGCGATCCACTCGCCTTGGCCTCCCAAAGTGCTGGGATTACAGGTGTGAGCTGCAGCACCCAGCCTTTAATGGCTTTAAAAATAAGTTTTTTTAAAAAGTAATTATAAAAGTAATTATAAATTGAACCACTATAATGGAAAAGACTTTTCAATTTAAATAATTATTAAATTCTCAACTCCAAGCTACTATAATTTTTTTTTTTTTTTTTGGAGACGGAGTTTCGTTCTTGTTACCCAGGCTGGAGTGCAATGGCGCCATCTCGGCTCACCACAACCTCCGCCTCCTGGGTTCAAGCAATTCTCCTGCCTCAGCCTCCTGAGTAGCTGGTATTACAGGCATGCGCCACCATGCCCAGCTAATTTTTTGTAGTTTTAGTAGAGACGGGGTTTCACCATGTTGACCAGGATGGTCTCGATCTCTTGACCTTGTGATCCACCCGCCTCGGCCTCCCAAAGTGTTGGGATTACAAGCGTGAGCCACCGCGCCCGGCCTATAATCAATTTTTTAAAACCTCTTTCTTAAAACGAAATTTGAATAATTAACTTTATTTTTTTAAATGAAGGTTCCAGGCTGGGTGCAGTGGCTCACACCTGTAATCCTAACACTTTGGGAGGCCAAGGAGGGTGGATCACTTGAGGCCAGGAGTTTGAGACCAGCCTGGCCAACATGGCGAAACCCCATCTCTACTAAAAATACAAAAATTAGCTGGGCATGGTGGCTGGAGTGAAGTGGCACCATCACAGCTCACTGTAGTCTCGACCTTCTGGGATCAAGAGATCTACCCACCTCAGCCTCTGGAGTAGCTGGGACTGCAGGTACAACTACCATGCCCGGCTAATGTTTTGTATTTTTTATAGAGATGGGGTTTCACTTTGTTGCTCAGACTGGTCTTGAACTTCTGGACTCAAGTGATCCACCTGCCTCAGCCTCCTTACGCCTAGGATCACAGGTATGAACCACAAAAAAACTGAGTATTTCTTAAACTCGAGCAATTAGTTTATTTTACAGTGACAGATCTCCCCATGTTTATTTTATAAATGAATATAAAATATTATGCCTACAGTTCTTACAGAACCATATGATCAAAACTACAAGACGATTAAGTTTCAAAATTAGCAGCAATTAATTTGGTAGGTTCTGCTATTTTGTTGAAAGTAAATTGTCAATGTTATATTTATCAGAAGAGAGATATAACCCCAGGGCCCATGTCTATATTTTGACTTCAGTTGTACTATTGTAGAAAATGCCTGTTTGTGCACATATGTTCTGTAAAATGATGTTACACACTTCAAGGCTTTGTCACCGCGTTCAAATTCAACCAGACTTCACACTTAAGCAATCTCTGACAATGAACAGATTTTCATCAAATGTTGCTTTGAGAATAAATAAAAGTGTCTTGCTCTTCACAATAAAAGTTGAAAGGCAGCATTATCGAAAACGGCATTCATGGGTGTCTATTCCAATTTTAACAAGTAAATAATATCTGATACACTTTAATTCTTGCAGATGGAAAAATTCTATTTCAGCACAAATAGGCAAAATTGTATTGTAGCAGTGTCAAACTACTGAAGGAAAGCAGTATTACTGAAATGGCTCAGTCACACCAGTTTGAAGAGATTTTGTCCTTAAATCCAGCTATTGCCATCAGCGTCTTCAAATGGGAACACTAAAGTACAGCAAAGCCCTTACACCTTTAATACACTGCGAAGCGCTTGGGCTCTGCCGGCCACAAACACGTCACTTACTGTGCTAGGCTCACCTCCACTTTCTTCTCACTAATCAAGAGTAGCACATAACTCCTGCACATACATCATGTTCATGACCTCAGGCCGATTTGTTAAGAAATAAACTTATTACTCAATTTATTAAAAAAACATATTAAGTAAATGTATAAATTAATATTTATTTCTATTAAGAAATCGGTCGTGCCGGGCGCGGTGGCTCACGCCTGTAATCCCAGCACTTTGGGAGGCCGAGGCGGGTGGATCACGAGGTCAAGAGATTGAGACCATCCTGGTCAACATGGTGAAACCCCGTCTCTACTAAAAATACAAAACATTAGCTGGGCATGGTGGCACGTGCCTGTAGTCCCAGCTACTGAGGAGGCTGAGGCAGGAGAATTGCCTGAACCCAGGAGGCGGAGGTTGCAGTGAGCCGAGATCACGCCATTGCACTCCAGCCTAGGTAACAAGAGTGAAACTCCGTCTCAAAAAAAACAGAAATGAGAGAAGAAATCGGTCTTATTCTAAGAAAAGCTTTCCATTACAGATTATAACCACCTAAGAGCTTTGACCAGCTGGGTGTGGTGGCTCACACCTGTAGTCTTAGCTCTTCGGGAAACAAGGCAGGTGAATTGCTTGAGCCCAGGAGTTTGATACAAATCTGGGAAACATGGCGGACCCGCGCCTCTATAAAAATACAAAAAACGCCAGGCACAGTGGCTCACACCTGTAATCCCAGCACTTTGGGAGGCCAAGGCAGGTGGATCACTAGGTCAAGAGAACGAAACGGTTCTGGCCAACGTAGTGAAACCCCTGTCTCTACTAAAAATACAAAAGTTAGCTGGTCATGGTGGTGCACGCCTGTAGTCCCAGCTACTCAGGAGGCTGAGGCAGGAGAATTGCTTGAACCTGGGAGGCAGAGGTTGCAGTAAGCAGAGATCGTGCCACTCTACTCCAGCCTAATGACAGAGTGAGACTCCATCTCAAACACACACACACACACACACACACACACACACACACACACATAAAATCAAAGTAAAATAAAAAGATCTGTCATCAAGATCCTATGAAACGCCAGATAAAGAATCACTTGACAAGTTTCTTTTCAAGGACAACACAGATAAGCAATGGTAGTAAATCTAACATTGTTACATTTCATATTAGTTTGTACATGTCTTTAAGGACAACAATTTAAGAAAAATAAATTCACGTAAAAATCTTATATTCTGGCAGGGCATAGTGGCTCACGCCTATGATCCCAGCACTTTGGGAGGCCGAGGTCAGGAGTTCGAGACCAGCCTGACCAATATGGTGAAATCCTGTCCCTACTAAAAATACAAAATTAGCCAGGTGTGGTGGCGTGCACCTGTAGTCCCAGCTACTCAGGAGGCTGACACAGGAGAAATCACTTGAAGCGGGGTGGTGGAGATTGCAGTGAGCCAAAATCACACCACTGCACTGCAGCCTGGGTGACAGAGCAAGACTCCATCTCAAAAGAAAAACAGCTTATATTCTTCAAAATAGAAAAAGTAGAAGCCTGGATCCTGTCAAGCCTTCACACTAGTAGGAAGCCTGCCCTGCAGCACTGCTCACACCGCACTGCCTGCAGCAGGCCCTACCTCTTCCTCTGCAGACACCAGGAAGGCATCATTCCTCCAGCTGTGAAATGAAACAGGGTAGAACCACGTATCCACTCTAACTAGCAGAAGAACTGGCACAGATCTAAGGTAGCATGAAGCCTCAGAGAAAGGTCCAACTTGAGCCTCAGGTGAAACCTGTCACTAAGCTTCAATATACATTGAATAAAATTTTATAAAATGAACATATATCAAGGATTCACACAAATTTTGAAAGGTGAAAACACAGAATATCCAGGAATTTAAAAAGCATTTTGGGCTGAATGTGTTGGCTCTTGCCTGTAATCCTAGCACTTTGGGAGGCTGAGGCAGGAGGATTGCTTGAGTCTAGGAGTTCAAGACCAGAGTGAGGAACATAGTGAGACCCTGTCTCTATTTTTAAAAATAATAAAATTAAACAAAACAGCCAGGCACAGTGGCTCATGCCTGTAATCCCAGCACTTTGGGAGGCTGAGGTGGGCGGATCACGAGGTCAGGGGTTTGAGACTAGCCTGACCAACATAGTGAAACCTCGACTCTACTTAAAAATACAAAAATTAGCTGGGCGTGGTGAGGCACACCTGTAACCCCAGCTACTTGGGAGGCTGGGGCAGGAGAATTGCTTGAACCCCGGAGGCAGAGGTTGTGGTGAGCCGACACCGCACCATTGCACTCCAGCCTGGGCGACAGAGCGAGACTCTGTTTCCAAAAAAATAATTAATTAAACAATACAAAACAAAATCTTTTTTTTTTTTTTTTTTTTTTGTTTTTTAAATTGAGATGCCGAGTCTTGCTCTGTCGCCCAGGCTAGAGTGCAGTGGCACAAGCTCGGCTCACTGCAACTTCTGCCTCCCAGGTTCAACTGATTATCCTGCCTCAGCCTCCTGAGTAGCTGGGAATACAAGAGCCTGCCACCATGCTCGGCTAATTTTTGTATTTTTAGTAGAGATAGGGTTTCACCATATTGGCCAGGCTGGTCTCAAATGCCTGACCTCAAGCAATTTGCCCACCTTGGCCTCCCAAAGTACTGGGATTACAGGTGGGAGCCACCGTGTGCAGCCAAGACAAAGCATTTTGAGGCATGTGCAAATGAAGCATCAGCAAATACCTGGTTACTTGTCATAAATCTGTTTGACTAAAGTAATAAAATTTTAAAAGCAGTTTCATATCTAATTGCAACACAGCAAACCTGTTTTAAAAAGTTATCTCACTAAACAAAAGTCTAAAATCAATCTCTACTTAAGGGCACACAAGTGTAAAGGCACAACACAGAAGATATTATTTCAAGAAAAGCAAAGATCCAGAGATTTCCACTTAACTGCAGGTTCTCAGAGGGCACACACTTACACCGTACCTGGTATCTTTACCTGATCCCCAGGTGCGAACTCCACAGCCACCCATGTTGTCTTCGGCTCTGACTGTTCTACAGAAAGAAAGAATAGTCCCTTAAACCAGAAGCTGCTCTCCAGTCAATCTCCAAATCAGAAAGAGCTGTTCATAGAAGTCCCAGGATCAGCTTCTCACAACAACAACAGCATAGTAAGTTAACTAAGTATTAACACATAACAGATTCATACCATGTGTTGCCAACATCTTAAAAGTGAAAATGGCATTTACAAAGAAACTTACATTTTGTCATTCCCACCATATCGTTCAAATTCTCGCTTCCCTCTCTGGTCAAAAGCATCAAAAACTCTGTTCCCAGGGCCACCTCTGCCTCGGCCACGAATACCCCCTCTCGGGCCTCCACGTCCTCTCAGCGGTCTGTCTCGCTCAAACCTATCACCTGGTCTAGGAAGAAACGGATATAATAAAAACTGGTAAATTAAAGGTCTAAGGTATTTTCCAGAAAAAAATTCTGAAAGAAAATCATGGCTATAGTATACTGGAAAGAATGGTGGCTTGAATCATAAATTAATAGTTAACGTTTACTGAGCACATACTATAGACTGTATACTTGGCATTGTTCTGAGCACTTTACATATAGTAATTGGATTCTCACAAACAAATCTTTAGTATACAATTATTGCCTAGAGATGAGAAACCGAAGCACGGAGTAGGCTAAGTGGTGGAGCCAGCCCAGGAGACACAGGTACTAGACAGGCTTAGTACTAATCCGAGTGGGACATTTCTTTCTCTCTCTGGATCTATTTCTTAATTAAAAAATGAAGATGTTAGATAAATAAACTCGAAGGTTCATTCCTGTTCTAATGCTAAATCTTCAAGTTAAATTTGGAATATTTTATATGAGAAAAATGGTTAAACGTCAAAATTATGCCCCTTCTTAAGTCTGCCTCCCAAACACACAGGAGGCCGGTAACATCTGCAACTGTGAAAACCTTCACCTGCCTTCCACCTCATTACTCCACAGAAATGGCCAAGGGCAGCTGAACACCTCTTTGTGAAGCCCAATGGCAACTTTTGTCTTCAAGTCATTTGACCCCAGTGTCGTATGACACTGCCGGCCACTAATTTTCCTGACTTTTCTGGCTTCTCTTTCTCTGCCTGCCCTTAGAAAATTATTTTTACTTTGGGAGGCCGAGGCGGGTGGATCACGAGGTCAAGAGATCGAGACCATCCTGGTCAACATGGTGAAACCCCGTCTCTACTAAAACTACAAAAAATCAGCTGGGCATGGTGGCGCGTGCCTGTAATCCCAGCTACTCGGGAGGCTGAGGCAGAATTGCCTGAACCCAGGAGGCGGAGGTTGCGGTGAGCCGAGACCGCGCCATTGCACTCCAGCCTGGGTAACATGAGTGAAACTCCGTCTCAAAAAAAAAAAAAAAAAGAAAATTATTTTTGGAATAGGTAATACCCAAATGCGGTACAAAACTCACACGGTTCCTCAGCCACGCAACCGCACTTCTCAGAGGCAGCCGCTTCAAGATTCACATAAGGGAAAGGTTCTCCGCCTGCCTCTCGTGCCTAACCTTTGTCTTGGCGCTCCACACAGATATTCATCCATCCTTATCCCTGTCGGCACCCTGACTTCTCTTTCCCTGCCACGTCCTCCTGGACTCCATGCTAATGCTAACTGGCCCCGCGTCTCTCATCTGATTGCAGTACATGAAGCCAGTTACTTCCTAGACATCTCCACCTGAATATTCCCGGGGCCGGCACCTACATGCCCAACACGGAGGGAGCCCTTCTTCCTCCTGTGGTCCCCAATTCACAACAGGAGAGACAGCCCAAGCCACTCCTCCCTCCTCTTCCTCTGCCACATCAGAGCCTGAGCCCAGGACGTGATCACCCACCCACTCCTCCCTGCACCATCGCTGCTCACCATCACTCCTTCTGAGGACTTGTCCCTCCTTCACTAAGCTCTAAGCTCCAATGTGAAAGGATTATGTCTCTTTCACCACTGTAACACTAGATTAATAAGATAATTATTTTCTACTTTGTCAAGGCTTTTAAAAACATTTAAAGTGACAAGAAATTACTTATTTAATAGAGGTCCTGGCTCAAGAAACCTAGTGGTATTAGTAACTCAAACACCAGCACTAGAGGTATTTTACAGTTTACTTTTATGGCTAAAAGTGTTACATTAAGAAGCCGCTATACAGCAGCGGGTAAAGAGTTACAAAACTCACAATTTACCTTACTCAAAAAATAAAGAAATACAGAAGTGCTGGCCGGGCGCGGTGGCTCAAGCCTGTATTCCCAGCACTGTGGGAGGCCGAGGCGGGTGGATCACGAGGTCAAGAGATCGAGACCATCCCGGTCAACATGGTGAAACCCCGTCTCTACTAAAAATACAAAAACATTAGCTGGGCATGGTGGCGCGTGCCTGTAATCCCAGCAACTCAGGAGGCTGAGGCAGGAGAATTGCCTGAACCCGGGAGGCGGAGGTTGCGGTGAGCCGAGATCGTGCCATTGCATTCCAGCCTGGGTAACAAGAGCGAAACTCCGTCTCAAAAAAAAAAAAAAAAAGAAATACAGAAGTGCTAAACATTAACGTTATGCCAGTCTTTTATAAGAAACGCCAACCTAAATAAATTCTCCAAGTTGGCTTTTCTGTCTCCCACCTCCCTCCCCTAATCAAAAATAGAAATCTTTGTAAAACCTGATTCTAAACTACAGCAAATATCTACAGCAGGCTGGGCTCAGTGACTCACACCTGTAATCCCAGCAGTTTGGGAGGCTGAGGCAGGAGGATCACTTGAGGTCAGGAGTTTGAGACCAGCCTGGTCAACACGGTGAAACCCCATCTCTACTAAAAATACAAAAACTAGCCAGGCATGGTGGCGGGCACCTGTAATCCCAACTACTTGTGAGGCTCAGGCAGGAGAATTGCTTGAACCTGGGAGGCGGAGGTTGCAGTGAGCCAAGACTGCGCACTGCACTCCATCCCAGGTGACAAAGTGAGACCCTGTCTCCACAAAAAAAAACACAAAAAAAAAAAAAAAAAAAAAATCTAAAGCCGGCTGGGAGTGGTGGCTCAAGCCTGTAATCCCAGCACTTTGGGAGGCCAAGGCAGTTAGATCGTTTGAGCCCAGGAGTTTGAAACCAGCTTGGGTAACACGGTGAAACCCCATCTCTACTAAAAAATATAAAAATTAGCCAGGCATGGTGGTATGTACCTGTAATCTCAGTTAATTAGGAGGCTGAGGTGGGAGGATTATTTGAGCCCAGAAGTGCAGTGAGCCGAGATCCTGCCACTGCACTCCAGCCTGGGCAACAGAGCAAGACCCTCTCTCAAAAAAGGAAATCTAAAGTAGGGTTCTAAAACAAACAAAAGAAAAGTAACAGTAATTTTTTTTTTTTTTTGAGACAGTATCTCACTCTGTTGCCCAAGCTGGAGTGCAGTGGTCCAATCACTGCTCACTGCAGCCTTCACCTCTCGACCTCAAACAATCTTCCCACCTCAGTCGTCCAAGCAGCTGAGACTACAGGCATGTGCCACCATACCCAGCTAATTTTTGTGACTTTTATAGAGATGGGAGTTTCACCATGTCACCCAGGCTGGTCTCAAACTCCTGGGCTCAAGAGATCTGCCTGCCTAGGCCTCCCATAGGGCTAGGATTACAGGTCTGAGCCACTGTGTGCCCAGCCAACAGTAAACTTTTTTTTTTGAGACAAAGCCTTGCTCTGTCTCCCAGACTGGAATGAAGGGTGCAATCTCAGCTCATTACAGCCTCTGCCTCCTGGGATCAAGTGATTCTCATGCCTCAGCCTCCCCAGTGGTTGAGATTACAGGTGTGTGCCACCATGCCTGGCTAATATTTTTTTTTTTTTTTTTTTAGAAACAGTCTCGCTGTATCACACACGCCATAGTGCAGTATTGCAATCTTGGCTCACTGTAACCTCCACTTACCAGGTTCAAGTGATTCTCCCACCTCAGCCTCCAGACTAGCTGGAATTACAGGTGTGTGCCACCATGGCTGGCGAATTTTGTATTTTTACTAGAGACAGCATTTCACCACGTTGGCCAGCTGGAATCAAATTCCTGAGCTCAAGTATCTGCCTGCCTTGGCCTCCCAAAGCACTGAAGTGCTGAGATTTCAGGTGTGAGCCACTGTGCCCAGCCTATAAACTTTTTTTCTTTTTTTGAGACAGAGTCTTGCTCTGTCACCCAGGCTGGAGTACAGTGGTGCGATCTCGGCTCACTGCAACCTCCGACTCCCTGGTTCAAGAGATTCTCCTACTTCAGTCCCCGGAGCAGCTGGGATTACATGCACGCACCAACACATCCCACTAATTTTTGTATTTTTAGTGGGTTTCACCATGTTGGCCAGGCTGGTCTCCAATTCCTAACCTCAGGTGATGCACCCACCTCAGCCTCCCAAAGTGCTGGGGTTACAGGTGCCGGCCACTGCACCCGTCTGACAGCATTTCTTATAGCACTTTCTCCAAGCTTGAATATATTATGATTTGATCTTTGCTCATCTGATAGTAAAAAAAAGGTGTCGCCTTGAGTTTGATACTTATACATGTTTACTGGACAGAATTATAAAATCTTCATAATCTCGAAAGATTATCTAAATTCAGCCCTCTCAATTTTCAAATGAGGAAACAGACCCAGTTTCAGCAATGTATATAGTAGTCCTGTCACAGCCAGCTAGCATGGATTTCTATTCTGCTTAGGCAGAGCACGTGTTTTCCCATGGAAGCAATGTCATAAATGGTGCTGGGATTAAGGGGCATGTCTCCGCCCCAGAGATCAGCCACATCATGTGGAGCACATATTCCGGGAGTAAACTACCGGGTTTTTTTGTTTTTTGTTTTTCAGAGTCTTACTCTGTTGCCAAGCTGGAGTGCAGCGGTGCGATCTCAGCTCACTACAACTTCTGCCTCCTTGCTTCAAGTGATTCTCCTATCTCAGCCTCCTGAAGAGCTGGGACTACAGGCTCGCACCACCATACCCAGCTAACTTTTGTATTTTTAGTAGAGGCGGGGTTTCACCATGTTAACCAGGCTGGGCTCAATCTCTTGCCTTTATGATCTGCCTGCCTCGGCCTCCCAAAGTGCTCAGATTATAGGTGTGTGCCACCGCGCCCAGCCATAAACTACTGTTTTTAATGTAGTAGGAATTCTTCCTTAGGCTCCAAATGAACTTAATTGAACTCTTAGAACCTAGACTATTAGAAAATTAGTCTGCCTCTTTCTGGATACATTTTGGCTCTTCCTTTCTGTAATTTACTGGTCATTTAAAATCCATGCCTGTTCTGAAAAAAGAAAAAAAAAAAAATCCCCCAGATGTTTACCCATCCCCCGTTATTAATAAGCTTTAAACAAATTGTGGTAAAATACACATACCATAACATTTACCATTTTAATCATTTTTAAGTGTTCAATTCTGTGGCATTAAGTACGTTCACACTGTTATGCAACTGTCATCACCATCCTTCTCCAAAACTTTTTATGTTTTCAAACTGAAACCCGGTATCCAGTCAACACTGAACTCCTT